TGAGAGGCTGGCAAGTGAGGCGGGGAACGTTGGAGTCCGCAGTCACTGCAGCAAGCAAGCCTCATGCTCGCTTCAGTGCCTGGCTGCCGGCCGCCATCTTGGCTGACAGTTAATTTGCATATACTCACTGATTAGCCAATGAAAAGGGTAGCGGTTGTACGCCAATTACCATGTTTCTCTTTTATTAGTGTAGATACCTTTACTGTCATATCTACATATGAGGTTTTAAAGTTGGAAGTACCATTTCACTTATGAGTTCTATTGCAGTGGTTTCTTATTAGCTAATAGTATAAGATAATATGTTCTCCTGTTTGCATCTTGTGAATTTTAAAATTTTTTCTCATTTCATTCAAAGCTAACTCTGAATTAATATTATGAAATGTAAACATAAAAAACTATTTAGCCCAGCCGGTGTGGCTCAGTGGTTGAGCATCGACCTATGTGAGCCAAGAAGTCATGGTTTCATTCCTGGTCAAGGCACATGCGGGGATTGTGGGCTTGATCCTCGGTGTGGAGCATGCAGGAGGCAGCTAATCATGATTCTCTCTCATCATTGATGTTTCTGTCTCTCCCTCTCCCTTCTCTCTGAAATCAATAACAATATATTTTTAAAAAATTATTTAATGTGTGCATTGGTCTTGTCATAATTAGGTCCTGCAAACTGTCAAAGTGTTATTATTAAAGTACTAGAGGCCCGGTGCATGAAATTTGTGCACTCGGGGTGGGTCCCTCAGCCCGGCCTGCACCCTCTCGCAGTCCAGGAGCCCTCGGGGGATGTCCAACTGACGGCTTAGGCCCGCTCCCCGCCATCAGTCAAACATCCTTAGCGCTGCTGTGGAGACGGGAGAGGTTCCTGCCACTGCCGCTGTACTCACCAACTGTGAGCCCAGCTTCTGGCTGAGCGGCGCTCCCCCTGTGGGAGCGCACTGACCACCAGGAGACAGCTCCTGCGTTGAGCGTCTGGCCCCTGGTGATCAGTGCACGTCATAGCAACCGGTTGTTCTGCCGTTAGGTCAATTTACATATTAGCCTTTTATTATATAGCCTTTTATTATATCATGTACTCGGGGGCGGGGGGGGTCCCTCAGCCCACATTGCAAGAGGGTGCAGGCCAGGCCAAGGGACCCCACCAGTGCAGGATTGGGGCTGGGGAAGGACGCGGGAGTTTAGCCAGCCAGGGAGGGACCGCAGGAGGGCTCTAGGGCATGTCCAGCCCCTCTCGCTCAGTCCCGATTGGCTGGACCCCAGCAGCAAGCTAACCTTCTGATCAGGGCGTCTGCCCCCTGGTCAACCGGTCGACAGTCTGCCCCCTGGTGGTCAGTGCACATCATAGTAACTGGTCGACAGGTTGACCTTCTGCCCCCTCGTGGTCAGTGCATGTCATAGCGAGCGGTTGAGCAGCCTTAGCATATCATTAGCATATTATGCTTTGATTGGTTCGGTTCTGCCATTCAGTCTATTTGCATATTACCCTTTTTATTATATAGGACTAGAGGCCTGGTGCATGGATTCGTGCACTGGTGGGGTTGCTCAGTCTGGCCTGCACCCTCTTGCAACCCCGGGACCCCTCAGGGGATGTTAGACTGCGGGTTTCGGCCCGAGGGATGTAGTAGTGTGTGAAGTGGCAGGCGGCCAGGGAGGAGCCTGAGCCCGGGCCGGCCACCATACACTCCCGCTCATCCTGGCCCTGCTGCACCTGCTACTGCCTGGTAGCGCTGCCGCAGAGGCGGGAGAGGCTCACGCTGCTGCAGCTGTGCTCTCCAACCGTGAGCCCGGCGTCTGGCACCCATCTGTCAGCTGAGCAGTGCTCCCACTGTGGGAGCGCACTGACCACCAGGGGGCAGCTCCTGTGTTGAGCTCCTGTGTGCGCATCATAGCAACTTGTCAAACGGTCGACTGGTCGCTTAGAGTTTTGTATATGTTCTCCTACTACTTTATTCACTAAATGCAGCACAGCAAATAGATTTCAGGAAATAGAATCCAGAAAAAAGGACTTGAAAGTACATATGCTGCCACAAGCTTCTTTGCTGATAGAGTATGAATGGAAATTTTTAAATGTTGGCCAACAGGAAGGAAATTATATTCTGAAAGCCTGCTCTGATTTGCTAGGGTTTTGTTTGTTTGTTTGTTACTTTATATTTTAGAGAGAGGAAGGGGGGAGAAAGAGAGACACATCATTGATCAGTTGCCTCCTACAGATGCCCCAACCAGGGATCGAATCTGCAGCCTGGGTATATACCCTGACTGTCAATAGAATCTGCACCTTTTGGTATATGGCACAATACTCCAACCAACTAAGTCATACTGGCCAGGGCTGATTTGCTAGTTTTCTAAACAAGTTTTAATTTTAAATTGTGAAGGATTATTTTTCCATTAGGAAGATTTTCAGTGGAAAACTGTCTTTTTTAGTATTTCCACAGGTAACACCGAAAGGAATTAATGGTATAGACTTTAAAGGGGAGGCAATAACTTTTAAAGCAACTACTGCTGGAATCCTTGCTACACTTTCTCATTGTATTGAACTAATGGTAAAACGTGAGGAGAGCTGGCAAAAGAGAATGGATAAGGTAAGACTATTTTTCTTTCTGTTAAATAATAATCATTTAAGTTTTATATATGGATTGAATATTTAATCCAAACTAACTTTTTAGGGAAAAATGCATTGGAGTTGATAGAAGTAGTAGGTGGTACTTCTGAAACTTTGCAGGCATCTTAACCTCATTTTCCTAATGAGATTCATCAGTTAAATATTCAGTAACTGTACAATATGCATTCTTGATTAATAACATTTTTGTAATAACAGCAATGCTTTGGAATGGAAGTGATAAGCCATTTAATATTACCCAGCTTTATTGTATGACATATGAAACTGCATTTAGGCTGTATAAACTAACTTAAACACAAATTTATAAAGTTAAATATTAACTTATTGCATTTATAACCATGTGTATTTTCCAAGGTCATTGAGATATCATTCAACATACATTATATTATTCATTAAACATTTGCTTACTGTTCACTTTTTCGACCTTTGTTTAAATTGCAACACTGATAATATTACAATATGTATATTTAGTTTCTAGTGTAAAGTATGGCTTAGTGAATTTGTTTAGTATTTCTGTTTATAATTCAACATCAGTAAAATAGTAAAATGTTAGAACTGAAACATGCCACCATTTTATAGAAGAGGAATTGTGCCCCGGAGACTTGTCCAGAGGTGTTAAGTAGCAGAATTAGAAGAATTTTACTATTTTCTATATTTCAGCTCTGGATACTAGGCTAGACATCAGTCAGAATCTTTTGTTGTTGTTGTTGTTTTGTGGGGGGTTTTTGTTAATCCTCACCCGAGGATATTTTTCCCATTGATTTTTTTTTTTTTTTTTTTGCGTGAGTGGAAGGGAGGGGGAGAGACAGAGTGAGAGAAACATTGATATGAAAGAGACACATTGATTGGTTGCGAGCCTGCAGCTGAGACCTATGACCGGAAGAGAAACTGAGACCCTTCAGTCCAAGGTCTGACACTCTAACCACAGAGCCAAACTGTCTAGGGCCAGTCAGAATCTTCTTCATGTGGGAGTCATATTGCTTGTAGAATTTGAAGGTCTTATCAATTAAAGCAGGACACTAGGAAAACAATGTCAACACTGATGTAATGGCAGAATGGCCATAGAATTTGAATATCACTGTGTATTTAAAACGGTCCCCATGTTTAGACGAAAAGAGAATTGTTTAGAATTCTCAAGTGAAGTAGCCATATTGACTGACAAAATATGTATCTTTTAAAAACAGGCAATAAAAACGTCCATTTAAGGTACAACCACTTCATTATTATTCAGGAGTCAAACTATTCTATATTGAAAGATTTCAACTCTATACCAATGTGGATCAAATTGAATTTTTAGAAGATTCCCTATGCACACAAAAAATAATGTATTGAGAAAACAGGAGAACCCCTTAAATCTATTAGACTAATGGTTCAAGAGAATCATTCAACTCATCTAGACTAGTTTAAAACTTTTTTCTTTAGTCTCTTTAACCTTCACTAAGGAATTATCATATCTAACCACACTGCCTAAAAATATTCTATTCATTTAAGATGTTTGCTTACATTAGTAGACTCACATATGTGTAACTTAGCATGCTTTTTCACTTTTCCCTAAGTCTTTTTAATATTGCTGTGCTGTGTGTTTTTGTTTTGTTCATTTTTTAAGATATGTTAATACATATAGTGAAGTACACTAATCTTAAGTGTACTGCTTGATGATTTTTATACATTTGTATATACCCCTGTAACCACCAGTCAGATCAACATACAGAAAGAACTTTTATAGCACAAGGTTCCTTCATTCCCCTACCACCACCTTAAGAGGTGACCACAATTCTAACTTACATGATCATAGATTAGTTTTATCTGTTCGTGAACATCATAAATGAAATCATACAGTATACACTCTTGTGTCTGTCTTTTTTCTCCCTTAACATGACTTGAGATTCATGTTGTTACATCTAGTGGTAGTTTATTCTTTTTTATTATTGTATAGTATTTCATTGTATGATGAATTTTCATTGTTTGACTTTAATTTATTTTTTCTATTGATAGAAGTTTAGGTTTTTATATTTTTATTATTATGAATAAAGCTGATGGGAACATTCTTGTACATATCTTTTGGTGGATATATGCACTCATTTCTCTTGGGCATATACCTGGGAATACAATTGTTAATTCATGGGAGTATATGCTTAGCTTCAGTGGATATTGACAATTTTCTAAAGTGGTTATATCAGTTTAAACTCCCACCAGCAATAGATGAGAATTCCCGTTGCTGTTCACCCTTGTCCGCACATAATATTGTCACTTTTGGGTGGATGTTTTATTTTGATTTTTCACTTGCTCTCTTTTGAAAATAGGAAATGGAGAAAAGAAGAAGAATAGAGGAAGGATACAAAAATGCCATGATAGAACTTAAGAAAAAATCCCACTTTGGAGGACCTGATTATGAGGTATGAAGTAACATTTTGATCTTAGAAAGGAAAACACATAGGCATGCCTATCACAAAAGTGATTAATTTTTAAATTATACTTTTGTAACCTTTAAAGGTTCTAAATATATAATTCCTCTATGTTTATTTTAATTAAATGTATATATCATATAAATGCTAGGCTTACTTTGAAATAGAATTTTTGGTATTGCCTACAAAGTTTAGTATAGGCTTTAAAAGGCTTATTATTTTGCCTGTCCACTGTATAAGACAAGTGTTAATCTCCCCTGTGAAGATGATAATTTTTAATGTTATCTTCTAACTCAACTTTTTTAAATAAAAGCAATTTATGGAGGGAAAACCTGAATACTTTATACAGACAAAAGATTTTAGTTTGTGCAATATACTATGATGTCTTATCCACAGTAGAGCATGAACTATTATAATTACCTTGCCTTTATGTTTGGAATGTGTGAAACCAACTTCTTTCCTCATTTTTTTATTGAGCAATTAATAAAATCTTCCTTCCATATACATGCATAATTAAAATTTTATAAACTATTTTTCATCACGTTTTTATAGAAAAATATATAAGAAATATATATGGTAATTGTCATTAACATTGTTGATATTCCTGAAATGAACCTTTTTTTTATTTTTTATCCTCACCTGAGGATATGTTTTTGTTGTGTGTTTTTTTGTTTGTTTGTTAGTTTTTATTGTTTTTTAGATAGAAAAGAAGTGGGGAAAGAGAGAGAACATCGATGTGAGAGAGAAACATCAATCGGTTGACTCCCATACATGCCCCAACAGGGAATCAAACCCACAACCTAGGTATGTGCCCTGACTGGGAATTGAACCCATAGCCTTTTGGTGTGCAGGTTGATGTTCCAATCAACTAAGCCAACCAGCCAGGGTAAAATGAACATTTTTTAAATAGAGTGGCAAGGAGTACCATTGAGATAGAGATAGGATTATAAAATAGTTATAGTTAGCCCTGTTGGTATGCTTCCGTGGTTGAGCATCAGTCCATGAACCAGGAGGTCACTGTAGTTCGATTCCTAGTCAGTGCACATGCCCAGGTTGCAGGCTCAGTCCCAGGTGGGCGGCATGCAGGAGGCAGCCTATCAATGATTCTCTCTCATCATTGATGTTTCTATCTCTTTTCCTCTCCCTTCTTCTTTCTGAAATCAATAAAAAATACATATATTTTAAAATAATTATAGTTAGACTATATTTAAGAAAATAGAAGAAAAAAATCTTGCCATTTTTATTCTAGAAGGGAATAAAAAAACTAATATTGACTGAGTATTTCTTATGTTGGAACTGATTGAGAAAAAAAAGTTTTTATTAACTATATTTAATGTTGGAATTGATTAAAGAAAAAAACTCAGCTGCTATTGGATAAATATTTTTTTGCTGGAATTGATTTCCAAATGTAGAAATCATGATGATGAGACTTGAGCTGTAATATTCTTTAATTATTAAGCTGTCAATTCATTTCTTCTAGAATGTATAAAAATTATATAATTAGCTATTCTCTGGGGTTTTAATAAACTAAATTACTGAAATATAAACTATTATAATTTTTATTTTTATTCTGATGCTAAGCATATTGTTTTGCCATTTTAGGTTTCCTTATTTTTTTTTTTTTTTTTATTGCTGAAAGTATTACAAAGGGTATTACATATGTGTCCTTCCCCCCCCCTTGACAATCCCCTGCCCTCCCTTACCCCCCAGTGTCTTATGTCCATTAGTTATGCTTATATGCATGCATACAAGTCCTTCGGTTGATCTCTTACTCCCCTCCCTTCTGCCCCCCAACCCTCTCTGGCCTTCCCGCTGCAGTTTGACAATCAGTTTGAGGCAGCTCTGCCTCTGTATCTATTATTGTTCAAAAGTTTGTAATGGTCTTTATTATCCATGAATGAGTGAGATCATGTGGTATTTTTCCTTCATTGACTGGCTTATTTCACTTAGCATAATGCTCTCCAGTTCCATCCCTGCTGTTGCAAATAGGTTACCTTATTTTTTTTCATATTATAAATAAAATAAATGTTTCTTATAGGAAGATTATAGAAAAATACACAAAAAGCCCATGTTTTTAATTTATCAATATATGGTACTAATTTATTTCCTTCCAGCAATATATAAGTATAGTTATATACTTCCACTTCTGTCAAACCAGTTTTCTTTCAGGGAATAAGAGTGGGATGGAGGGAAGAGAGGCCTTGTGCTAGGTATATGTGTTTACTAGTTTCAAATCTAAAAAAATTGCTTTATTTATGGATGTAATTGATTTAGGCTTTTCTAAAGAAATGTTTATTGGTCACTTAAAATTTGCTCTATAAAAGTTTTATGCTTTTGCCAAAACCGGTTTGGCTAGGTGGATAGAGCGTTGGCCTGCGGACTGAAGGGTCCCAGGTTCGATTCCGGTCAAGGGCATATACCTTGGTTGTGGGCACATCCCCAGTAAGAGGTGTGCAGGAGGCAGCTGGTCGATATTTCTCTCTCATCGATGTTTCTAACTCTTTATCCCTCTCCCTTCCTCTCTGTAAAATATCAATAAAAATATATTTTTAAAAAAAAGTTTTATGCTTTTATGTAATCTCTCAGTTTTTTTGATACACTTATCTCTACATTTGATATCATGTTTAAAAAGCATTCTCAAATAATTATCTGTATTTTCTTTTTTTCTTTTTTAACGGTCTTTTCTAAATATATTGCTAATATACCTGGATTTTTTAAAATTATGGTATAATATGGTAATCTTTTATTCTAATGGTGTTGTTGAATAAATCATTCTTTTCTACTCCTGTACTGCCCTCTTTTAATGAAGAACATAGTTAAGGGTTCTTCAGCCTTTTCTCACCAACTCCTTGTGATATGAAGTTAAATATGCAATTTTTAAATAAACTAGGGCCTGTTTTTATGTTTTCCCCCTTCCTTTTAGAGCAGTGATGGCGAACCTTTTGAGCTCATCGTGTCAGCATTTTGAAAAACCCTAACTTAACTCTGGTGCCGTGTCACATATAGAAATTTTTTGATACTTGCAACCATAGTAAAACATAGACTTATATTTTTGATATTTATTTTATATATTTAAATGCCATTTAACAAAGAAAAATCAACCAAAAAATGAGTTCGCGTGTCACCGGTTCGCCATCACTGTTTTAGAGTCTTGAACCATCTATATTGTGTCAGTACTATGTTTGCATGGATTTTAAAATGACACTAATTCAGAATGTGACTTTATTTTGGTTCTTATCCAACATTTATGATGTTTTAATTATTGAACAAAGTTTAAATGTTTCTGTCATCTATAGCCTCAGAAATTACTTTATAATCTTAAATCCATTCCTTAAGACTTATAGCACAAGGCACTGTGCTAGGTGTGGGGTGGGGTGAGATTGCAAGGAACAAGGCAGACAAGGATCCTGCCTGAGGGCCCCTCCTGAGTATATATTAATGGTAATATAGACTAAGTAGCAGGCAAATAGAATAATATATATTATAAAGCACTTTTAACAGTGGTGGGCATGGCTTCCTAAAGGAAACAGCATCTTAGCTGAAACCTTAAGAATAAGTAGGTTGAGTAGATGTCAACCAGGCAAATAGCCTAGAAAGAGTGTTGCTTGTAGGGGCTTAGAAGAAAAGAAAACATTTGGAGACCTAAAGCAAGAGAAAGCATTTTGCCCCAGAGTAACTTATCAATGGAGCAGGGAACCCATTGTGAGGAGGGAGGGATAAAAAGGTCTGAGAACAGTGCAGATCCTCAGGAATGGGTTTTAAGCAAATTGGGTTTTCAGATTTACAGTTTAGAAAAATTATTCTTGCTTCCTGCAGTGAGGAGAGTGCATTAAAGTTGAGAGTTGTGACAGGGACTTGGAGATTTTTTTCAGTATAACAGATAAGAATTGAGTATAGTCTAAATTAGATAGGCTAGGACAGTAGGAATAGATGTGGAAAAATGAGGTATTTGGAACGTAGAATTGAAGGGTGTGGTGATTGAATGAAGGAAAAGGGAGGAATCCAGGAACAGGCCCAGATTTCCGCCTTCGTCCTGTTGGTGCACAGGTAGAGGAAGAACAGGTTTTAGACATGTTGCACATGAGTTGAGACATTCATCTGAGGAGGTCTTACATATTATTAGATGTAAAGATCTAACACCACATAGGAAAGGAATGGACAGGCTATGAATTTGGGAAATTATCAGATGATGACTGAACTCTTAGAAATGAATAAAAATGCTGTGGGAAAGCAAGTGTGGAATCCTAAGGAACACCCACATTTAAGGGATAGACAAAGGAGGAAGAGTTTGCACAGGAGCCCAAGAAGAGTACTTAGTAGAGGGGAACTAGGAACTTAGGAATCCAAGGGCAGAGAGCCTTGCAAAGAGAGTCATTAGAAATGCTGCCAATAGGGCAAGTGAGGTCAAGACTGTGGAGTGTGTCCCATAGATTTAGCAACAAATAGCTCTTTTCCTTGGTAAGAAGGTGAAATAAAAGTGGGTTTTTTTAAGTTGTTTTTTAATAAAAGAAATTTTATACAATTACTAAGTTCTCAGATTTGCCATCAAAGGAAAAATGTACCTTTCTTATTTGCCCATTTCACTTATCAAAGTAGAATTTTTAAAAATTTTGTATTAAGTGTATTGGGTTGGCATTGCTTAATAACATTATATAGGTTTCAAGTGTACAGTTGTTTAATACATCATCTGTATATTACATGTGTGTTCACCACCCAAAAGCAGAACTTTTTAATCCTGAATTTCCCAATTGGGAGACTCCTGAGATGCTGACATGATTGCATAGGTTGAATGCGTATTATAATTTTTAAAAGTGTAGGTGTGGTTATGATCAATAGAGTTTTCAAAAATCACCAGAAAATATGTTCAGAGTAGATTTTGGATATTTTCTATTTTTCTCACATCAACAAAGACCAAAGTGATACTACTACTATTTAAGTGCCTTTGAAATGTTTTAACTGTATACAGGGAATCCTTCAGGATAGCCTCTAGAATGCTGTTACTGTTCTTCTCCTGATCCAACAGGTCATTACATGTTTAAATTCACTTAGTGATAATTCATTGAAGTATGCACTATTCTGTGTGTATGTTGAAGTCTAATAAAAAGTTTCTGTGGATTTTTTTTTCTTTTGAAATGAGTTATGAGAGAGTCCTCATAACTCCAAAAGAACTATTGCATTAAATCAAGATTCCTCATATGCCTGTGCCAAGGGGTTTTCTCCCACCCTTCCTGTGTGACCCCACATTGTGACAGGGATGGAATAATGTTGCTAGATACTTTTTCATGGAGTAGTGATGACGTTGGGTTATCAGTCTAACTGGTAAGATTATAGAGAGACCAACAATCATTCATGTGTCTTATTTTTATATTTAAAAATTTAGGAGCCCTAGACGGTTTGGCTCAATGGATAGAGCATTGGCCCGCGAACTGAAGGATCCCGGGTTTGATTCTGGTCAAGGGCACATACCTCGGTTGCCGGCTCTATCTTGTGTGGGAGGCAACTAATCGATATATCTCACATCGATGTTTCTCTCTCTCTCTCTCCTGCACCCTTCCACTCTCTAAAAATCAATGGAAAAATACCCTCGGGTGAGGATTAAAATAAATTGGGTGGGGGCGGGAGCTCTGCCCAGCTGGTTGAGCATCAGTCTCTGTACCAAGAAGTCGCTGGTTCAATTTCCAGTCAGGTCACATGCCCTGGTTGCAGTCTTGGTCCCAGCAGGGGGCATGCAGGAGTCAGCCAATCGATGTTGATATTTCTCTCACATCCATGTTTCTGTCTCCCTCTCCCTCCCTGTATAAAATCAATAAAAACATATTTTTTTAAAAAAAATTTAGGGAGCCTTAAACCAAAGTGTACCTTTTCAGCCTCTACTTTTACCATAATGTAAAGCCATTATTCAACTTACAGTCCACTTATTTATTCCATCACAGCAGGAACATACCTTGTTTGTTTCCATTTTGCTATTATTCTTTTATACTTTTATCTTCTGATACAGCTGAGGTTCTCTTTGCATGAGAATCACTTGGAGGACTTATTAAACATGCATATTCCCAGCTCCACCCAAGACCTGCAGAGAAGTAATTTCTGTGTATGGGGTCCTGGGTATTTTCATTTTAACAAGTTCTCCAGGCAATTGAGAACCACTGCTCTGCAATCTAACCAGGCTCTCAAGCATCAGCTAGCTCAATTTTTCTTTCTCCATGAACTACTTCTATTTGCTTAGGAAGATCCCGCTCAGTACCCAGTCTGTACTGCTCATTGCCTGTAGATCTGCAACTTTGTACTTACCTTTCTTCAATTTTATACGGTTTCTGTCGCCAAGTATTTAAGTTATAAGTACTCAACTCTGTCACTGTAGCAGGCATAGACAATGCATATGAATACAATGAAGATTATATTCCAATAAAACTTTATTTAGCTTTATGTAATTCCAACATGTCATGAAATGTTGTTATTCATTCCTTTTCCCCCAACCATTTAAAAAATGAAATTCTTAGCTTACAGGCCATACAACAGTAAGCAGTGGACTGGATTTGGCCTATGGGCCATAGTTCACCAACCTCTTACTCTAGATCAGGTGTCCTCAAACTTCTTAAACAGGGGGCCAGTTCACTGTCCCTCAGACCGTTGGAGGGCCAGACTATAGTTTTAAAAAAAAACTATGAACAAATTCCTATGCACACTGCACATATCTTATTTTGAAGTAAAAAAACAAAACGGGAACAAATACAATATTTGTATTTGCATGTGGCCCGCGGGCCGTAGTTTGAGGACCCCTGCTCTAGATTATTGCCCTAATACAATATTGGTCAATATACAGTAAGTATATGAGTACTGAGTGATTGTTATACTCATGATTCTACACAAAGCATATGTTACTCATATTTTATATATTACCTAGTGTACTAACTGGTTCAGAAATGTTTGTTGAATCACTTTTCAACTTTTCCCTAGAGTTAATGCCAGAATTATCAGTGTTTTCCACTTTCTTAAACCAGCTTTTTTTTTTCTTCTGTGTGTTCAAATAGGAAGGTCCAAACAGTCTGATTAATGAAGAAGAGTTCTTTGATGCTGTTGAAGCTGCTCTTGACAGACAAGATAAAATAGAAGAACAGGTATATCTGTCACTAAAAATTTAACACTAGGTATTTCTTGATGTATGGTATTTTATATAAATAGAATTTGAAAACTGAAATATCTGATAACCTAGAAAATGAACTGTGTCTGCATTGAGTCACAAATGTAGGAGAATCTTCATGTCAGTTCTTCCATTGATCAATTTCCAAGCAATGGAAAGAAGACCAATGATAGTTTAAAGAAAGCATGCAGCCATGGCCGGTTTGGCTCAATGAATAGAGCGTCAGCCACGGACTGAAGGGTCCCAGGTTCGATTCCAGTGAAGGGCATGTGCCTTAGTTGCAGGCACATCCCCAGTGGGAGGTGTGCGGGAGGCAGCTGATCGATGTTTCTCTCTCATCGATGTTTCTGGCTCTCTATCCCTTTCCCTTCCTCTCTGTAAAGGGTCAGTAAAATATATTTTTTAAAAATAAAAAATAAAGCATGCATAATTAACATGAAGTTAAAATAAAATATTCTTTCTATTGCCCTTGAAATATCCAACTTTATCATGATCCTGTTAATATCAAGTATATATTTACTCTGAGTAAAACAGTCTCTTTGAACAACTTTTTACCACCAAGTGCCATATAAATTCAAAAGGAAGATTACCAAGAATCTATTTTTCTTCCTTTGGTACCATTCAGTTTTTATTATTAACTCCTTTATTGCTTTCACTATCTTAACCTTCAATTGCTTCCTCACTTTTAACTTTGCTTAGTGTTTTATCATCATTAAATTCACAGTAGTTATGCCCAGATTCTCCTGTGGAAGTGGAACTAAGCATATCTTAAATCGTTTAACTCTAATTTCAAGATTAATTTGATCCCTTGCCTTCAATTCTGCAACAATGCAGTTGCCAAGTATTAACACTAGATGGTATTTAAGGGTGAATTTTAGTTACTTTTCCCAGGACTTGAAGCATCTTACAAATAAACGATATGTATATCAGTTGTACACTACAGATTTACCTGCATAAAAAAAGTTGACATGTTCATTCCCTGCCATTGCTAAGGCAGTCATGGCTATTATGCCCATTTATTAGTCTATCTACTTGAAGGTAAATCACCTGTAATAGTGGCTGCTTTTCATGTTCATTTTTCATTATTTTTTATAACTCATGATAAAAAGTTCATGTAACATTAGTTTATAAAGCTTATTGCTTATTTTTATACTAAAAGATGCTACACAGCACTCAATAAGAGTGGGAACTTTCAGTTCTTAAATGACTTCTAATTTTGGATGCCAAACGTATTACCCAAAGCAGCATCATTGTGTTTGTTTTTTTAGGGTTTTTCGCCTACACTGTTTTTTGTGTGTATGTTCTGTTTTTATTTAATATGTGTTATCATAGAAAGAGTAGTGAACTGAGGTCATGACAACTTTGTTTTAGTCTTAGTTTTGCCACTAGCTAACTATGAAGCTATAAACTTATCACTTAAATTTTCTGGGCCTTGGTTTCCTGATCTGTGAAACAAGGGCTTAGACAAGATGAATCAAATCATACCTCTGGCTCTAAAATCCTACTCTAAATATCAACACATTGGTTGAGTTGGAGTTAAAGAGAATCAATGAAAGCTTCTATAAGCTTTAGAGAAAAGAAATATTCATGGGACTATCAACTCATTTCATTTCAGACTATTTTTGGTACTCTGGTAGATCCTCTACAAAACAAGCATTAAACAGACCCGTAACTTTCCTTGCCTAATAACTAGGCGTGTCATTATGACAGATGATTACAGTATGTTAATGCTATAGAGGAGTAAGCATCAGTAATCCATGAAATCAGTTCCAAAGGTTCAGATCATTTCCCTCATTGTATGCATTAGATATTACACAGGGCTCTCAACAACACAACCACTACATAGGTAGTCTTCAGTGACACAGTTTTGAGTTTACATTTGTTTTACATTATTTGCCAACATAAGGAAAGCTATAGAAAAAAGTGGTGAGTGAGAAATGAGATCTTTGCCATTGTGTTCAGATCGTATTGAATAGAAATAACCAGTTGTCTTCTACATAGTTAGAAAATGAGCACACACACAAAACAGCAAAGTTTCTGGTACATTACATTTAATAGATATTTATAGAATGAGAAGAAACTAGGGAAGCTGAGGAGGGAGAAAGAGGTTAAGTGGCAGCTTAACAGGAATGAAATGATTAGATGAAGACAAGATGAATACCTTTATGGAAAGGAGCAAAGACAGACATGACGTGACTGAAGCAAACACTGATAGTGATTCAAATGATACAGCCCTGCAGGAGCCTTATGAGGTGGAATGATTGGAATAATTTGGGCAGAGTTTGAATAAGAAAATCAATATTAAATTAAGATTGATTTATGGTAAATGATGTCATGTTGGCATCGGAGAGTCCGACTAGGAGCAAAATTAAAAAAAAATGATCCCTGGGCTAAGTTAGTAACTGTCAGGTCCAAAAGAAGAGATTGAATTGGGACACATAAAGTAAATGTCAGAGTAGTTTCATGATTCAAATATTTCTAAGTGTTGGTGGCAAAACAGCATCAGGTGTTAGCTTGGTATAGTCCAAGCATGTCAAACTCAAAGGCTAACACAGGCCAAATAAGGTTTAAGTCTATGTGGGCCACACAAAAACAAAAGCTTCAATTTTCATAGAAACGTAGGATTATTTCAATAGAGACATGCTGAATACAAAGGGCCCTCCTCTCTGGTTCCAGGTGCATCACCCGAGAACCACAGCTGCCAAGTCACCACAGTTCGGCAGCTCCTGCATTGAGCATCTGCCCCCTGGTGGTCAGTGTGCATCATAGCTACTGGTTGGAGTGTCTGCCCCCTGGTGGTCATTACGCATCATAGCTACCAGAAGGTTGGCCAGTTGCTTAGGCTTTTTAGCCTTTTATATATATAGAAGATTATGTATAACAGGATATTGTAAAAATTAAGTTACGAAATTTTTATTAAAACGTTTCTTACATTCGGTTATATTGGCTGGGTCGCAAAAATATTCGTCGTGGGCTACATGTGACCTGTGGGCTGCGAGTTTGGCATGCTTGGTGTAGTCAGACCGGACCTCAGTTCAACAACCTCGGTTCTTGAGTTCTCACTGCTTGAGTTCTGCCTAAGAAAGAATTCAGAGCTGAGACTCAAACACACGCAAAAGTTTATTTAGAAAGTCACAGGGCTAGAAGAAGTGAGTCAGAAGAAATGGGCTTAGGAAACAAGTTACAGAGGCAAAAGAATAAATACCCTTGCAGCTTATGAAAAAGAAAGGCAAGGAAGGCGGACCTGGGGGTGGGGAAAAGCATAGGTGTGCTCCATGGAGAGAGCAGCACTGGGTTATCAGTCTTGAGGGTATTTGTCTGGAGGTTTCAGGGAGGATCCCAATAGAATATTCATCAGCTTTACAGATGTGTCCTTTCAGGGTTGTGGTCTCCAGGGATTGGTCAGCACCAGGGCAGGGGGTCATTAGTCAATGCAGCTGGTCCTGATGTCAGCTATAACATGGCTTGTCTGGTTTTGCTGCTTTTCTGGGCCTGGAGCTGAACACATCTGATATCATCCCTAGTTTAACCTAAGCTGTCTCCATGGTCAACAGACCCAAGGCTTTGTTCCTAAGATTATTTGATGTGGGTCAGAACCTCATTGTCCTGGGGCTTAATCCTTAAGGGAGAAATCATGCAAGGGCTTGTATGGGAGTCTTATGAGGCTATTCTCCTGTCCCCTTGTTCTCTGTCCCTCTTAGGGGGTCTAACCCACATGACTAGTGATATGCTCCAGGGAGGAAAGGTTACCCTGGGGATGGAGGTCCTTGGTTTCCCAGTTTTGCCCATAGCTAGGTACCTGGGGCTTTCTGCTCTGGTGACCTTCTGTAGTTGGCCTGTCATCTTGCTCTTCTCATGTCTGTCTAACTGCCTACTACATAAGTACTGAAGTGTTCAGTAGTTAAATGTTGATAGTTTCAGGTTATAGGTTATATTAACCATTCTTTAGCTGCAAAATACACTTAAAAGCCTTTGCCTCTTAACATTATATGTTTTCTTAGTCACAGAGCGAAAAGGTCAGGTTACATTGGCCTACATCCATGCCATCTGGAGATGCCTTTTCTTCTGTGGGGACTCATAGATTTGTCCAAAAGGTAAGCCTAATGTCAGAGTTTACTCCAAGTGTATGCTGTATTGTTCTTCACTGTTGATGGAACTATCTTGTATAAGTTTTCCTTCCTTTTCTTGAACTTAAGTAATGAGATTTTTTTGGTATTATATGTTTTCTTCCATATGCATCCTCCAAAACAGAAATCTTCTTATGATTATGTTCTTTCTTTTTCATTTAAGAGGAAAGGAGGTGGGGGAGAGGGGGTAACAGGGAATGACTAGTCCAAAATAGCCAAAAGCATAGCCAGTTACATTAAGTTTCTTTTTTCTTTGGGTTTAAGTGGTATTATTTTACATTGTTGAAAGCGCTGCATTCATTTTAGAAAGATTTTAGAGCATAACACATAATAGGTGCATGGACTCAGCACTTGCTGCTGAGCTTGTTTCATATAGTGCTTTGTTCTCTCTCTTTATCTTGTGTTTGGAAGTTGGTACTGAATGCTCTGTTGTGCCTTTGTTCTGATTACTTGGTTTTTTCTTTGTCTGTCTCTGGTAGCCCTATAGTCGCTCTTCCTCCATGTCTTCCATTGATCTAGTCAGTGCCTCTGACGATGTTCACAGATTCAGCTCCCAGGTACTGTATGAATGTATAGAGTGGACTTGAGTCTTTCTGTGCTATATTTCAGCCTGCTTTCCCAGTTCCGAGAAATCTTTTGGTTAGGCCACTTGTTTTCGTTCTGAATTTTAAATAGTTATAAGCATTAAAAAGGCCTTTTCTACTAAGTAGTTCCTCTATCAAGCTTGCATGTGCCCTTTGTATCTTTTACTGTGAATAGCTTGAAATTTTGCCATATAGGAGGTATTCCTGAAAGATTGTAAATTGAATTGAAACAATTGAAGGTACATAGTTTTAAAGTATTATGTAATATCTGATTTATTCAGGCAGGATTCAGCAACTTTGATGGACATGGTTATAGCATAAAAGCAGGATTCAGCAGCCTCACTTCTAATCTAATTTAAAATATAATTATATTCAACAGGGAAATAACTTTTTAAATAATATTTGTTGAACAGCTTGTACTTTCCTTATGCACATTACCGTTTGATACTATAAATTAATACTTCTGTTCTATACTAAATTTATGGAAATTGGTTTTAATTGATTATTTGGTATCATCAGTAAGGGTTTAGAAATTTAAGACAGGAAGCCAGATGCTTGCAGTCTCTGCTCTCATAATAAAGTCATTAAAACAATATATTTTAGTATCAGCATTAGTTGGGGGAAAATTTTTTTTATCTTTGCAATTCAACTTTGTATCTCTCTGGTGATTGAATTTTATTGGATTAAATTACTTTATTTTTAAGAACTTGAATTCCCAAAGTGACCCAAGTTTAAATTGTGGTTAGCTGCACTTCTGTGATCTAGCTAGGACTCAGGTCTACCTAGGGCCTGGCATGTAGTCAGTGCTCAGTAAGTGAGCTTTTAATAATAACATAATTTCTTTGAGTTAATCAGTATTATCTACATCATTTTTTCTCTTATCAGAGTATTTCAATAAAAGTTTTTAAAATGCATAATTTATAACAGATTCTTATTAGTTTACACAAATGAATAAAGTTTACATTAGTTTTTTAGCTATGCAGTGAAGAACAATAAGTCTAAAATCAAATTGTGTTGTTCAGACTTTTGCAGCTTTTTTCTTCTTAAACATTTTTGAGAAAGAGATGTATCAATTTATCAGAAATCACCCGGAGCCAAAACTAACTAAAACCCATCAGTACTGGTCACCATTTTCCCTTAAAATATAGGAATATACAGGCTCTAGATGAAAGAAAATGTAAGAGCAAGAAAAGAATACAAGCCACTGATAAGTGCCTAAGAATTGGGGCTTCAGAACCCAGATCAGGACCCTGGCTGTAGAGAGCTATAGAAGAGCTGAAAGCCTTCAAGTACAGGTGAATATGTCACTGAGAAGTAGGTGCCCAGCTTTTTACAAGATTTCTGCCAAGTCATAGGTTAATTCTTTACCTAATTTTTTGTGTATCTCCTGTTTGTAAGTTGAGAAGTCTTTCTGAAGGGTTTTTTTTTCCTAATATGTGATGCATGTGACTGATCAGATTCTGTTTTAGCTTTTGATTATTGTACTGTCATATTCCCAAAAGGGGCAAAAATGAAGACAAATAACATTGAGGTTCAAGTGTTTCTCGCCCTTGCTAAAGTATTTGGTGTCATTAGCAAACTTGGGCTTTGGCATTTAGCTATTGATTTATTAGCTTTGGCATCTGTGTACAAGTCTCAGCTCATGACCGCTTTGTTCTTGTTGAAATTATGTTCATAATCCTGATTGGATAGGATAATTAAACATAGGATTATGAGATGCCCTGAAAAATAACTTCAAGTAAAATAAGTGAAACTACTAGGGAATTAACAGAAAATCATGAATCTATCTTCTGGGCAGAAATTGGGAATGAAGTAGCTCTAAATCAAAGTGTACAGAAAGTAGAAAAGACTTGGATTTATAAATGAATCTTTTGGTCACATTTATTTGCATTACACAGTTTCCAACTAAAGATGTCATTTCAAAATGAAAGAGAGAAAAAAAATCATCTTTTGAAAAAATAACATCAAAGGGTGGGCAGTACAGCTGCAGGTTAATCTATAGTGAACATCACTGCAAAACAATTCTGTGTAAAGCTTTTCTACTTTATGTTCATAATTCATTGTTGTGGTAATTATTTTACTCCTCCCTTTTTTACTGTACAGTAATACATGCTAATTGTAGCAGAACTAGAAAGTAAATAAAAGTAAAATACTATACCACTTGATATTCTCATGCATATAAAAAATCAGGCCCTAGCCGGTTTGGCTCAGTGGATAGAGCGTTGGTCCCGGGTTCAGTTCCGGTCAAGGGCACATGCCCGGGTTGTGGGCTCGATCCCCAGTGGGGGACTTGCAGGAGGCAGCCGATCCATGATTCTCTCTCATTGCAGATGTTTCTATCCCTCTCTCCCTCTTCCTTCCTCTCTGAAATCAATAAAAATATATAAAAAAAATAAAAATAAATAATCAGGCTCATATAAATACACATACCTTGTCTTTTCCTACTACAGTAGTTAAATCTATATATACTATTTTGTAACCAGCTTTATTTTTTAAGCATATAATTAGGTCCATCTTCCCATCAGTAATAAATAAAGGTCTGTATCTACTTACCTATTTATGGATTGCATACTGGGTTTGCCTTCTCACCTGATACTGAATATTTAGTTTATTTTAAGTTTATCGCTGTTATAAATAGTGCTGCATGGGCATTCTTGTATATATAACATCTTTATATATACATTTTTGTACACTTATTAAATTACTAGAGGCCCAGTGCACGAATTCGTGCACAGGTGGGGTCTGGCCGGCCTGGCCCCAGTCAGGGCAAATTGGGGCTGAGCCTGTCGGGAGGAGGAGATGGTGGGAGGTTGGCCTGCTGGCCGACCTGGATCAATGCCTCCGATCAGGGCTGGGCCGGCTGGGGGAAAGGGCCACGGGCGATTGGCCAGCGGGCCCTGCCCCCAATTAGAGTTGGGGGACCGATTGGGGGTGGGCTGGCCATGGGGAGGGGCAGTGGGCTGGCTGGCCCCTCCCCCAAATGGGGTGGGTGGG